ATTATTGTATAGCATCCATCTCAAAAATCACGATGCTAACTACAAGTCTAAAAGTCTGTTTTTCTGAGAAGTATCAAGGACATTGGTTGGAAATAAAATGAGAAGAAAAACATGACATTTCTAAAAGGGATTTCAGACAGAAGGGAGAAACTCGGCATTCTATTCGGGTTATAACCCCCATAGGTGGGGGAAAAAAAGAACCAGAGAATAGTTAACCTGATATGGAAAGAGATGGGAGGGACATTCTCAGCAGTTTGATCATTTGGCCACCATAGAGGCTGCTTGGATTGAGGCCACATTACAAGAGTACATGACTCAATTTTCTGACTCAGCCAAGAAGTCTGTGAGCAGTGACATGATATATCATTGTCAATTGAGGACAATCCTTTAATCAATAGGACGGGCCCTGTACCTAGATGTATGATTAGGGAAGGAGAACAAAAGATACAGTTATTGCTCCAAAACACATTCTCCAAATCTAATAATGCATATCAATCACTGAGATTAGGATACAAAGCATTACAGAAAGCCCAGTAATCAATAAAATATAAATCTCAATGGTGATGTTAGCATAGGTAGCTAGATATTAATAAAGGAAGGGAACAAAAGGAATTAGTCATTATTAAGCATAATCAACTGGGGAGCATGAGCCTGCTTGCTTCACCAGGAAATTACAGCTTCACACTCCCCAGAAACCACCAGACATTCCCCAAAGATGGAACAGAACAATAAAGAGGGAGGTAGGCACATGCACAATTGGAGCCAAGATGGCAACCAGAAGGCTGAATACTTTTTACTGAAACAATATTACTGAAGTCAAAATTTGGATTAAATTCTCATGTGGCTAGTCATAATTCTCTGTGCTACAACCACTTATAGAACATCTAACTAACTAGTTTTCAAAAAAGTAATAACCAGAGTTACAAGAGAGAATGAAAGAACGAACCACAGAAGAGTGGGAACCATACTGAAAAAGCCATTCAAAGCATTTGGCCCAAGGATGGCTGGCAAACACTAGGGACAATTTTCCACCATCAAAGTTCTAAAACGCAGGGACCTTTTTTATTGTGTTCACTGCTCTACCTCTGGTGCCTAAACACTGCTTGCACACAGTAAGCTCTCAATAAATATTTGTTGAATAATGTGTCCCATCATCTGGCATCTTAATTAAAGGGGCTGAGGACATATGTTCAAGATAGGATTCTGCCACTAACTACTTGATTCTAGTTTGTTTATTTAATCCATCTGTTTAATTTCCTCATCAATAAATTGTGGACATTGAAATAAATCAGTGGTTTCCAAACTGTATTTATCGGAGCCCCAATCTTATGAGAATCTGCTTTGAACCACTGCTGGGGATACAACAGGAGGTGGGGAAGGGCAAGCAAACAGAGTTCTGGAGTATCTTCTCTGGTTTTGAACAGAGAAGCTTTACATTGATCTAATTTACATATTGTGTGATTCATAATATTTCAACCTGCCTCCCAAACATCTATTGTTATTGGGATTTTTTAGGCAGTTATTTTTTAATGATTGATTTTGAGATAGAAAGGGAGAGAGAGAGGGAAACATTGATTAGTTGTTTCACCTATTTATGCATTCATTGGTTGATTGTTGTATGTGCCCTGACCAGGGATCGAACACACCACCTTAGCATATAAGGATGATGCTCTAACCGTTTGAGCTACCCAGACACGGCATATTATTATTGTTAATACACTCGATCAATGGGTCAAGAAAAATCTGGGGAAATTAGAACACACTTTAATATTAATGAAAATGAATATAAATATACAAAAATGTATGGGATTCAGCAAAACCAGGGCTTAAGGAAAATGTATAGCTATGAATGCCTATAACAAAAAAGAAAAAAATTTGAAATCAATAACCTAAAAAATAAAACTTCTACTTTAAGATATTGGAGGGAGGGGGGAGAAGAGCAACCTAAAGAAAGTAGAATTAAAAAATAATAAATATTGAAGGAGAAATTAATGATATTGAAAAGAAAAAACTATACTAGAGAATATCACTGAAACCAAAAGCTAGTTCTTTGTAAAAATCAACTAAATTAACAAAACTGCCTAATGGACCCCCCCCCCCCACACACACACAAACAAAAAAGAAGAAGAAAATATTCAAATTTTAGACTCAGAAACAAAAGTAGGGGCATAACTTTTGCCTTTCAGATATGAAACGAAATATGAGAGAATGCTGTAAACAAGCAGAGGTCAAAAATTAGATAACTTGCCTGGTCAGTGTGGCTCAGTGTTTGAGTATCGACCTATGAACCAGGAGGTCACAGTTCAATTCCCGGTCAGGTCACATGCCTGGGTTATGGGCTCAATCCCCAGTAGGGGGTGAGAAAGAGGCAGCTGATAGATGATCCTTTCTCATCATTGATACTTCTATCACTCTCTCCCTCTCCCTTCCTTTCTCTGAAATCAATAAAAAAAATTAGATAACTTAAATGGCACAAACTAGAAATACTAGTAGATGAGAACTTCCTCAACCTCATAGAGTGCATCTATGAAAAACCTACAGCTATCATGACACAATGATTAAAGACTGGATTTTATTCCTAAATTCAGGAAAAAGACAAGGATGTACCCTCTTATCATTTATATTTAATGCTGTCCTAAAGGTATTAACCTGATAAATTAGGTAAGGAAAAGAAATAAAAACAATTTACTTCAGAAGGGAAGATGTAAGAATAGCTCTCTCTCTATATATAGAAAATCCTAAAGAACCCAGTATAACATAGAATTTTAAAAATCCAGTTAAAAAATTAGTTCTGCAAAGTTGTATAATATAACCTCAGTATTAAAATCAATTCTATTTCTGTACATTGTAATAAATAATACAAGTAAGAAATTAAGAAAATTACATTTACAGTGTTAGCATAAAGAATAAAATACTTAATAATACACTGAAGAAATGAAGTACATGACTTACACTGTTAAAACTACAAAACTGTCAAAAATTAAGGAATATCTTTGGAGAAAAGGAGAAAAAACACTGCATGGTCATGAATCAGAAGACTTAACATTGTTAAGATGACAGTCCTCCCCAAATTTATCTATAGATTCAATGCAATACCCATCAGAATTCCAGATGGCTTGTTTATAAAAATTGACAAGTTGATTTCAAAATCAATATGAAATTGTGAGGATGTAAGAACGAAAACAATATCATTCCAAAAGAATATTGTAGCAGGGCTTCACAATTTCTGATTTCAAAACTTTCTACAAAGAAACAATAATTTTAAGTGTCATGTGGATAGACATATAGATCTATAGGATATAGAGAATTCAAAAATAAAAGATGTATCTATGGTCAATTAATTTTAATAAGGGTGCCAAGATCATTTAATGCATAAAGAATAGTGTATTCAAAAACAGTGAGGACACAGGTAGATAGCCCACATGTAAAAGAATGAAGTTGGACCCCTACTTCAAACAATATACAAATGGTAAATAAAAGTGGGTCAACAATCTAAATTCAAGAACTAAAGCTATAAAAATCTTAGAAGAAAACAGAGGTCTAAATCTTCATGACCTTGAATTTGGCAATGGAATCATAGATATAATATCAAAAGCAGAGCAATAAGAACAAAAAATACATAAATTTAAAGTCATCACATTTTAAAACTTTTTGCTTCAAAGGATACTATCAAGAGAGTGAATAGACAACCAACAGAATGAGAAAAAAATATTTGCAAATCATCTATCTGAGGTTACTGTATTTAGAATAGAGACAAAACACTTGCCACTCAATAATAAAAAGAAAACCCAACTTTAAAAAATGGGCAAATGATCTGAATACACATTTTCAAGATGGCTAATAAACATGTGGGAAGATGCGCAACACCTCAGATCTCTTAGGAAAGCAAAGTGAACAGGTTATCCTGTACCTTATGATTTTTAACCATTATTTTAAATATAGAAATATTTTATAGTTAACACAAAACCATAGGAAAATATAAAATGAAAACAAAACCATAATTAGCAATAACATATTTTA